CCGCAGAGCTCCCTGGAGTCATTCATCCAGATGGGGGAGGAGCAAATCCAATCCCTCCCATCGATCGTTGCCCTTGTTAGAGAAAAGGCAGATGCTGTCCCTCCGCTCCCTCTGAACAGGAAGTCCGGGTGGGCCAGGCTTTGGTTTGGGAAACAGGAGTATTAGCTTCTGCTGCCAACTGGGGTTGTGTTTGCAGACTCCCAGGCTCCAGTGTCTCCGGAGGGACCGGCAGCTCTGACCCCCGTGGACTTGCTGTGGTCCCCGGGGAGGGAGCCTTTGCCAGGAACCTCTGAGCTCACTGGAGGTGGGTGTTGGGTAAGGGTGGTGGAGGACTGGGTAGTAGGAGAGGAGCAGGGGGATGACTCCCTCCTTCCTCCATCAGCTGGGGATGCATCACCACTGCTGGGAATGCATTCAGGCCACTTCTAGACAAATTGGTCATTATGGAAATTCTTTCTTACCCCATGGTGGGGCTTTACTGCGTGTTCAGAAGAATCTTTAGATGTCCTGGCCGTGAGGGTCCAACCCTTTTGCCTGCTGTCCCCTCAAGGCTAGAAGGCGGAGCAGTGTCTGAGCCCCCATTCCTGTGATCTCTCCCTGTTCTCCCTTCTCGTGTCGGCCGGTCTTCACCTGGGCAGACGTTGGGGCGGTGGTCTGGTGCATAGCAGGCATGCCTTGCCTTCCTCTTCCCCATAGGTCCGGGCCCTGTTGGGTCTCCACTTCCTGTCATGGCCTCACTGGCCACTGTGGTGGCACATCTGGACCTAGACAGGGTGTCCTGTTGTCCTGCATAACGAGGATCCCAGACTTCCCCTAGGTGATTTGCCACAGTTATTCCAGGGAGGAGCGGGATTTCCCCTACCCCCAAGCACTCCAGAGACTTCCTCCAGGCTGCGGGCTCCCATTTCTGAGTCTTGACCTCTTAGCAGTCTACTCTCCTGTTCCTCCCCTACCCCCACCCCTCACCCCAAGGAGAAAGGCGGGAAGGAAGTCCCGCCGGAATTGTGTTTTGGTGTGTGAGGTAACGGTCTTTGGGTTGAGAAACACACCCTCCCCTTTAAGATCTGAGGCCAGAAGCAATGGGAAACCAGAGTGGGCAAAGCAGGGAAAGGAGCAGGGGGAGGGGGTTGGGGGCGGGTTATAGGTACTGAAATCTGGGAGGGACTCCCAGGGGGCCCTGGGCGGTAGCCCTCCCTCTGTCACCCACCAGCAGGGAAACCTTGGCAAATACCTCAAACCCTCTGCACCCTGGTTTCCATGTGCCTAAAATGAAGGTTATGTCGACTCCACCTGGATTACGGATTTAAAGGTGACCTTATACACAGAAGCGCTCCAGAATATATAAAAATTAAACACATTTTGAGGTTATATTACCTGTGTAGGAGGAGAGAATCGTGTCAAAGAAGACGGAGTTATAGAAACCTTAGACCTCACGTAGGCTGGTTATATGTTAGATTTTACAGGAGAGGAGACAGTGAAAGTGACTTGTCTGTAGGTAGGCACTCAGCAGCAATTGTAGACGTGGGACTAGAACCAGGTCAGCCAGCTTTCTGGCACATCCTTCTATCGCTTGGCAAACTCTAGGTTGTGTCCTTGGGGTAGAGAGCCACAGGGTAGAGAAAACGTGGCACAGAAAATCTGACAGTCTTGTGTGCAATCAGATTTAAATCATCCATGCCACTGAGAGTAGGGGAGGGAGGACAATAGAGTAGATACTCTTAAAATTATTGAAATTGAACTTTGCAAAATATTATTGAATTTTTTTCCTGTAGCAAATGTATCTCCTTATTTCTCTCGGGCTCCCACAGTGTTCTGTGTCCCAGAGACCTGCTGAGTGTTGGGGGGCGGGGTGCTCCCACTCCTGTATTCAGTGTTTGCTGTGGCTACCCTACAAAGTGGATAGTCCACATGCAGCGGGTTAAGAGCTTGTCCCTTTCTCTGGGGACACACGGATATGATCGTGAGCTCCTTGCCTTTTGCCTGTAGGAGACTGGCTGGAATGTCTGACGCCACCATCGTACCTCTGCATCCTTTGGCTCCTGCCTAGAAACATGGTTTGTACAGATGCAATGAATCGTAGACTGTCAGAGCTGGAAAACACATTAAGCGTCTTCTAAACTAGTCCCTTGAGTGTCCAGGGAGAGGGACCAAGGTCGGAGCGGGGCAAGGACCTGTCTGGGACGAGAGAGCCAGATAGTGATGGAACTGGTCTCACGGGGACAAGGACTTACGACAGGAAAGGTCTGAGTGCGAACCTCACATGTGTCCCATCTTAGCTATGATCTCCTGTCCCTAGGTCAGCCGGGCCTTTTGCAATTCTGCCCCAAGAGGCCCCTGTCCTGGCCAGAACAGTTCCTCTACTTTCCCTTGCTGCTTTCCTCCCATGACCCCCCAGCCACCTCTTTTTCCCTTGTGATTCCTACTGGCTGTAATTTCCTTCCCTCCTCCCCCACTTTTTATTATGAAGCACTTTAGATACGCAACAAGCTTGAAAGAACTTCACAGTGAACACCCGTGTACCCAGCCACCTAGATCGTACCATTAAATTTCACTCTGCTTGCTTTCTCCGGTCTTTGCAGTCTTTCCATCTCTCCACCCATTTGTCAGCCCTATTTCAGGGATGCGTTTCGTTAGCAAGTCGCAGAAATCAGTACATTTCCCCCACTAAGCATTTCTGCATACATAGGCATTAGAGTTCGGTGTTTGTTCATGCATTTATTTTTTTGTGTTTTGGTGGTAAAATGTATGTAACTGTGAAATGCTCAAATTTTAGGTGTATGCTTTGATGTGTTTTGGTAAACGCTTCCATCTGTGAATTCCAAACCTCTTTCAAGACACAGAACAAACATTGTTTTAAGTTTATTTATTTTGAGAGAGGGGGGCCGGGGAGCAGGGGAGGGCAAAGAGAGGGGGGGAGAGAGAGAGAATCCCAAGCAGGCTATGCCCTGTCAGCGCAGAGCCCAACACAGGGCTTGATCCCATGAACCATGAAATCATGACTTGAGCCGGAGCAAGAGTCCAACGCTTAACCGATTGACCGCCCATGTGCCCCAGAACATTTTTATTACCTAAGTAAGTTCCCTCATGCTCCTTCACAATTCTGGTGTTTCTTCACCATAGGTTAGTTTTGCCTATTGTGGGACATCATATGAATGGAATCATCAGTATGAACTTTTTATTGTAAGGTTCATCCACATGGTTACCTGTGTAGGTCATTTGTTCCTTTTTATAGCTGAGTGGTACTCCATTGTATGGACAGCCTATAATTTGCCTATCCATTTTCCCGTTGATGGACATTTGGAGTGTTTCCAGTTTGGGGCTGTGATGAATAAATCTTCCATGAACGTTCTTGCACAAGTCTTTTTGTGGACATAATGTTTTCATTTCTCTTGGGTCAATACCTAGGAGTGGGATTGCTGGGTCAACAGAGGCTGGCCGTTCCTTCCTGTTCTGGACTCTGCCCTGCTCTCTCATTGTATTCTGCACCCGAGATTGTGAGTAGCAGAAAGTGCCTTATTGCTCATCTAGATTATTCTCTTGCCGGTGTAGGAATCCCCTGAGAGCCCACCTGACATTCGAGCCTCTGCTTGAATGTTTCCAAGGATGGGGAACTTGTTTCCTAACAGGTCCCTGCTCTTAGGAGACAGCTGCTTATTAATTTCTACCTTGGGGAACCACATAGGACAAGTCTAATTTAGCCTCTTCTGTGTGACAGCCCTATAGAATTTCAGGACTGCTGTCACATCTCATCCCTCAGCTGCTCCTCCAGGGTTTCTCTTCTTCAGGCGGATTGTTCCAGTTGACTGAGCCGTCTCTCGGGTGACGTGATTCTCAGACCCTTTACGTTGCAGTCATCATCCTCTGAAAGCTTAATGCCCCCCTTCAAGTGTGTTGCCCAGAGGCGAGCCCTGGATTCTAGACGTGTTCTGTGAGATACAGAGTGTGGCTGGATCTGGACTCCTGTCTTGACCTGGGTACTCGGTCCACCCATGGGTTGAAGGCAACGTTTACTTCTTAGCAGCCCCATCATGGCACAGGAGGAGATGAGTTAATGTTTGTAAAAATTCCCGCAAATCTCAGATGGCATTAAGACCGCCCGTTTTAAGTCACCTGGAGCCACAGGTATTAATAGCATCTGTAGCACACCTTCCATATGCCATCATCCCCTTTACTCTTTGCCGCCACCTTATGAGAAAGTTGCCGTTAAAAAGAACTTAACAAACCACTTGGCTTCAAACCGTGTTTGTCAGCTTTGGCACTGTTAACATTTTGTTGGGGATTGTCCTGTGCCTCACGGGAATTCGCAGCATCCCCGGCTTCTATCCACTTGCGGTCCTCTCCATGCCCCATAAGCTGTGACAATCAAAAATGTCTCCAGGTATTTTCAGGTGTCCCCTGAGGGGGAAAGTCCTCTTAGGTTGAGAACCATTCTTAAGGCATAGAACTTAGTCACTGAAAAAAGTTTAAATAACACAGCTCTTCCCAAAGGGTCACCGGTGTTATTCTTTAGGATGTATATGCCTGTATTGTGTCCTTTGTGCAGGACAGTACTTGCTTTTTGCAGATCTGGTGCACGTGGATCTCAGTTACTACTAAGCTACTACTACTAGTTGAGTAACACCACTTGCCGTGGTGTATTAACTGAGTAGTTGCATAGAGCACAGACTTTGCTACGAGCTCTTCAGTCCACAAATCACTATGTACAGAACAGATGTTTTTTATGATCATATCCCTCCTTTCTGAGTCTGTCAGTGGCGGTCGCTTATTGCCCATCTGTTGTCGGGCTCACACACAGATAGGGAAGTGGGCCGTTGTGTTGCCTCCTTGTCCCCTAGCAGTGAACTCATGTGACGCTTTACAAACATGGATAATCCAAAGAGGGAATTGGCCAACAAAGATGACATTGCCACAAAGAATTGAAAAGTGGTAATCCCGGAAATGAAATTGGAGCTGGATTAAATGGAGTCACAGAATCAGTAGTTGATTATAGGGATGTCAACATGGCCACGGGTCACGACTCTGCAGATGAAGCCAGAGGAACCCTGGAAGGCAAGCTCATTGACATGAGTGATTGTGACGAAAAGGAGGAAGTTCCAGAGGAACTGATGCTGGGGAAGAAACTCCACATGGAAGGCATTCGTGGAGGTATTCTGTGACACTGAAAGCATAGCGGATAACATGTTGAAAACCGACCCAAACTTTGAAAGGAGTGTGCCAGTTTGCAAAGGCACGGAAACGGTGCCCCCTCTAGAAAGCAAGCAGTGTCCCAACTACTCTGGATAAGTTTTTCCCAGAGAACTGACATACTCTATTCTAATCTGTATTACAGTGTACTGAACACAAGTTTTACTAGATTTTCCATTTCTCTCTTCAGTTAGAACTGACAGTAAGAGAGTTCTCAATGTTTTGACACAAATTTCTAAAGGTCATGGAACAATCTTAATTTTTTCCATTGATGATTAAGATCGCACGATCATTTGTGTGGTTCTGTCTTACTGTGCAAAGCAAAGGCTGTCTATATTTAGAGAGGTGTGGGTAAATACACACACACACAACATTTCTTTTGCTTTTTCTCTTTCGTTTTTTTCAAAACATTTCAAAACAAAAATAGGATCAGACTACAAGTGTCAATATGCAGCTTGCTTTTCTCATGGGAAATCTCTTTTTTGGAGAACTTCTGATCTTGGTATATCTGGATCTACGTCATTCTTTGTGATAACTGTATATTATTTTATGTGTCGTTGTAGATGTACAATAATTTGTTTGACCCATTTTCTGTTAATGGAGTTTAGCTTCTCTCCAGTTGCTTTTTCTCCATGGGATATAATGCTGAAGTGGGTATCTCTGGCAGAGTCATCACTAGCCCCATTGAGTGGATGAAGACATCGGAGATAACTGGGACGCCTGGCCGGCTCAAGTCCGCAGAGCGCGCGACTCTTGATCTCAGGGTTGTGAGTTTGGGCCCCACATTGGGGGTAGAGATTACGTAAAAAGAAAATCTTTAAAAACAAACAAAATGAATGTGAAATAACTGCCCAGGTTCAGGCAGCTACTAAGCTTAGAGCTGGCATTTGAACTTAGGACTGTCCAGTTCCAGGTCCTTGTGCTTTTAATAAAACTACAGTGCTTTACAGATTCTCTTCTCTTAGAAGTAGCTTTTAACAACACAGCAGCAGCCCAATAGCAAAAAATATTAGAGTTTATTGAGCGAGACATAATTCTAGTGGCAAATGCATTATTTTTCCTATTAACTGAGCAACAACCCTATGGGGTAGATACAGTTATTGTGTCTGTACGATACTCAAGGACACCGAAGAAGGTGAGGAAACTAGCTAATGCAGGAACTGCGACCCCTCAGGTAGCCTGGCTTCAGAGCCTTTGCTGTCACTCCTCGTGTTATATGGATCTGACTTGAGAAAGGTCCCTCTTATCACATGCTATAGTAGATGCCTTTTTTTTTGAACCCCTAACTTGGGACTTTGCTCGGGCCCGTGTGTTCACCTCCTGTAATCGTTTAGAAATGTGTTACCAGGCACACCTCCACTTGTCGGTCACCTGCAAGTTTGATGAGCTTGCCGTGTACTCTGTCTTCAACCAGCTTGTTGGTAAAATAGCAGGCAAAGCCACAGATGGCATTTCTCAGTTTGTCGCTGGAGGTGTGCTTTGTGTTTAGCCAACAAGCAAGCGTGTATTAAGTACAGCCATTATGCCATGTACTGAACCTAGGGTTTGCAATCGAAAGTGAACAAGATCTAAGGTAACGCTTCGTGTCAACTAAGCTTCGAAAAAATGGTGGATGAGCTACAGTCCCAGCCTTTAAGAGGCACAAGGTCTACACGGCAGGGCAAGGAATGGTCTTGTAACTGACGCCAGTGAGTGTGGAAGTAGGAGCTTACCAAGAGTCTCTGAGAGCAGAGAGGAGAGGGGCTGGCCGTGCCTGGAGGAGGTCAGGGAAGCTTCTCAGAGGAGGTCAGCACTGCCTTGGTGCTCGAAGGATGCAGACTTGGAGGCCCGGAGGACTGTCAAGTGTCGTGGCACCCAAGCAGAAAGAATGTGTTGGGGGGGGGGGGAGCGGACAGAGATACTGCAGTGAGGAGCCAGGAAAGACCAGGCTAAGGAACTGGGGTTTTGTCCCGTAAGCCAGTGAACATGTCTAAGGAAGACAGTGCCCTGCTCCTGCTTGCCTTTCAGAGGTTGACGTGGGATGTGCCGGGAACAGATTAAGGCTAGCATCTAGACTCCAGTTAGAAGGCACGCAAGAGAAAAGGGAACCAAGCAAGTGGCCGCAAGACTGGAAGAGAGAACGTGGATTTGTTTGGAGAGCTTTCCAAAGACAAGATCAGACTGGATGTGTGGGTGGGTGAGTAGGTGGGACAACTACTTCAAGGTTTGTATCTGGGGGCTGGATGTCATTGTCATTTACTGAGGCCGAGGAGCAGGTCAGAGGGGGCGCCGAGTTCAGCTGGCTGCACATTCAGCCGGCTGCAGATCCATTAAATAGCACTTCGTCATTGGTCACTTGTGGCAGCGCTCTGTCCTCTCACCCTTTGTTTCTTTGTCATGTCAAAGGTCCGGCAAGGGACTGTCTGTGTACTCTCCAGAAGTGAAGGTCCCCTGCATCTGGCACTCCTTGGTCTATAATTAAGTGACTCTGCTAGAAAAGGTATTGAGATGAGATGCGTCACAGCCTCTCAGGGAACCCAGGCTGGGCTGCGGTCGCACTTCAGAATCCGTTGGCCAGAGACCGATGTGACGTTCGGCGGCCCCTCTTAATGACCATTCTGTTTACATGTCGTTTCTTTTTCCCTGGACTGGTCTGTGAACTCCCTAAATCCCGAAGCGTTCAGCATGGTGCCTGGAGCATGGCGGGTGCTGAGAGAAGGAAAGCTGCGGGAGAGCAGGGTGCCCCCATCTCCTCCTCCCTGGAGCCCTCCGTGATCGCCAGCTGGTTCTGGAGGCACACCTGCAGATTGTTTCTGTGTCCCGCGATTGGCGTCTTGTCACTCCATCATCCTTGGGTGCTTATAGGTTGGCTCTTGGTTCAGCTTCCCTTCGAAGCTTCCCTTCAGTGTGTGTCAAGGTTTGGCCTGTTCGAATCTGAAGAACTTTCTCTGCGATTAAAAACAAACAAACAAAACACGATGGACCGTACTGGAGATGAACGTTCCCGCATCGGCCGTCATTTTTGTGGCTTAGAGCCTCAGCCCCATGAGGGGCCCTCTTCCCCCTCCCTGGTTTTTCTTACAGCTTTGCACGTAGGATTAAGACAGCCTGCAGTCATTCTTGCGTTTTCACAAGCCCTGCTCGCTCTAAGAGCCCACGCCACTCTCTTGGGGTCTGTCCTGTCTTCAATACCCGAGCTCATCGTGGCTCCCTGTGCTGTGGACTTAACCATCGGTGGCTGCTTCCCCCTCGTTTCTTTCTCGGGGGTTATTATGTTTTACGTGCTCAGAATCTACTTCAGAGGGACCAGACCTTATCTTTCGAAATGCATTCCCCTGTGGGATCTGAGCTCATACTGCTCCGTTGAGGCAACATCTAAATATCGGTTTTCTGCAAGTCTAGGCTAAACAATTGTTTTTGTGCCTGAGTTTTTTCTTCCCTCCTTTGAACTCTAAAATAACAAGGTTACTTCCTCCCAATGTGGTATTCTTGTTGCTATTGTTTGTGCTAAGATGTTTTGTTGTTCCTACATAATTTACTAGATGTTGCTTCCTGGTCAGAATCTGAAGGAGCATTTCCCTTCCTTGCACCTCCGGCTGTGTGACAGGTGAACTCTTTAAGAAAGGCACGGCACGAATTTATCAAGTGCCATGCTCTTAGCAGACAAAAAGAAAACAAAACAAAACACCTTGCATTTCTCTCTGTCCGATGCCCTCGTGTTCACGTTGGGTGATGCGAGCTCTGTCTTGCATCTGGGCCATTTTTGCTAACAGCAGGGAAGAGTGGTTCATACCTTCTACCAGTTTATTCTCTCATAGGTTACCACGGGCATTACTTAACCTCTGGTTCCCTTGCCTTCTCTCCTCACTCTGCTGACTTTCAGTCTTGGGCATGAGGAATTGTTTCAGGGGTAGGGTGTGTGTGTGTGTGTGTGTGTGTGTGTGTGTGTTGCCCTGATGATCTGTAGGACCCTTCTTGTCTTCCATTTTCTGTCTCTCAACTCTCTCCACCTCCCATTAGATCTGTTGATGAAAGTGTATGCACCATGAATCTCATTCCACTTCACAGGAGAGTTGACCATGACCTGGCACTTATGGCTGCTAATTAAGAATTTGAATTTGCTTCGTCAGTTGCATAGGGTCAAGTTGATGGAGGCTGCATAGGCCAGAAACAGTGTCTCTGACCTCCTTCCGTCTTAATTTCTTTTGATACTTTGTCTATCTCTGTGGGTTTTTTAAAAGTTGTACCTAGATGCTGCAAAGAATGTGGCATTTTCTTCTTCCTGCCACTCTGATTTTGGCTTCAATCCAGCTGGGAGCGTTTAGTGTGTTTCCTTCCCACCACCGTCTGCCTCGTGTGCAGGGAAAGATGCTTTGTATCCTGATGTAAGCCATTCTGTTATACAGCCTGCCTTTTAATTTATCAGCAAAGTGTACATTGTGTCTGTTCTGCACTAAGCTGTGGGCTGGGCCGGGCAGGTGCAGAGATAAATGGGGCAGACCTGTGAACAGGGCTGCGTAGGGAGCCAGGACAACAGTAAACTAATAGCAGCAGCTCAGGGTTTGCTTGTCAAAGCGTCGCTTGTCGTGAAGATAAGACCCTGGAACTTAGTGTCTGAACCGGGTCTGCATCTTGGCTCCGGCAGTTACTAGCTGTGCGTCCTTGGCAAGTTGCTTCCCCAGGACCTGTTGCCACACCTCCGCATGGACTCAGCAATTGACTATTCCAGAGGGCTGTTCGGAGGTTTCATTATAACGTGTTTTCTAAATATAAAGTACACCTGACACGTGGTTGGTGTGGTGTACACGAACATTCCTCTTTCGATCATGAGCATCTGCTGGAAGAAACACAAATATCTGTGTCCCCCAGTCCGTCAGTTTCCTGCCTGAGACTCCAGCGTGCTTGACCTTGTGCGGTGCTCATTTCCACAGGAGTCACAGGTGGTTAGCAGCGGTGGTCTGGGGCCTCAAGCTGCTCTTTTTCATATTTGGGTTAATGCTCTTCAGGGAGACATCAGGCCTTTACATCAGCCGGGTAGCCCTCGTACTTTGAACTACGCCGGCTCCTTCCTCCTACGGCCAGTGTGGGATCTCCTGCGTCTGGTCCCCTGCCTCACTAGTCGGAAGGTTGACTTGCTTTGGGGCACACAGAGCTGGGTCAGTCTGAGGGCAGGGGTCAAGTAAGAACTGAGGCATAGTGCACCTTAGAATCTAAACCTCTCGGCTTGATTTTTAAAAAGAAATGCATGTAGATGGTGAGATCCAAATATTACAGAAAGATATAAAGTAGAAACGTAGGGCACCTGGGTGGCTCAGTGGGTTTAGCTTCCGACTTCGGCTCAGGTCATGATCTCACGTTTCTTGAGTTCCATTGCGGCATTGGGCATGGAGCCTGCTTGGGATTTTCTCTCTCTCCCTCCCCCTCTCCCT